GTCGTTGCTCACATGATTCGGCCATGGTATTCTCAGCATTCTTCTGTAGAACCACATTTCTGTTGCTTCAAATCTCTTCTTCATGTTCCATCCATGGTATTCTCTCTGAATTGATGTTAAGTATAAGCATTCTTCTTTTGTTTCCATTTTCTCTAAAAATTTGTCGTTCTCACATGTTCGGTCCATGGTAAGCTCAGCATTCTTCTGTAGAACCACATTTCTGTGGCAAGCTGGGCGTTCTTGTTCCATCCATGCTATTCTCTTTCTTTTGATGTTCAGTATAAGTGTTCTTTTTAGAACCACGCTCATCTAAAGCTCAAGTCGTTCTCATGTAGATCCATGCTCCATGGCAATTCTCAGCATTCTTCTGTAGAACCATGCTCTGTTGTTTTTCACATTCTCGTTCTTCATGTTCCATCCATGCTATTCGATCAAGCTCAGCATTCTTGTTAAGAACCCCGCTTTTGTGGCAAGCTTAAAGCGTTTTATCGTTGATCCATATTTCGGTCGGCAGTATTCTCAGCATTCTTCTGTAGAACCCGCTCTGTATGCTTCAGCGTTCTTATTAGATCCATTTTTCCATCCATGGTAATTTTCCTCTTCCCAATTGTTATGTATAAGTGTCTTTTTTTTGTTTCCATTTTATGTAGATCCATGCTTCGTCAAGTTGCATTCTTCTGTAGATGTTCGGTCTGTGGTATTCTCAGCGTTCTTATGTAGATCCATGAACAAGCGGCAAGCTGCATTTTCTGTAGTCTCTTCTTCATGTTCCATCCTTGGTATTCTCTCTTCCCATGTTAAGTATAATTTCAGCATTTTTGTAGAACCCATCTTTCTTTAAGCGTTCGTCGTTGATCATGGCATGTTTGGTCCATTCTTATGTCTCAACATGCTCTGTAGAACCACATTTCTGTTGATCCATGCTCTTTTTCATGTTCCATCCATGGTATTCTCTCTTCCGATGTCCCGTTATAAGTGTCCATTTTTGTTTCCATTTTCTCTAAAACTTCTGTCGTTGCTCACATGTTCGGTCCATGGTATTCTCAGCATTCTTCTGTAGAACCACATTTCTGTTGTTTCAAGTCTCTTCTTCATGTTAGATCCATGGTATTCTCTCTTCCTTTTGTTTGTAGATCCATGTCCTTTTTTGGCAAGTTTCCATTTTCTGTAAAACCACGTCGTTGCTCACATGTTCTTCCATGTGTAGATCCATGCATCCCTGGCAAGCTCAGCATTTTCTGTAGAACCAAGCTCTGTGGCTTCATTTTCCATCCATGGTATTCTAGATCCATGTTAAGTGGCAAGCTCAGCATTCTTCTGTAGAACATTTTCTGTGGCAAGCTGTCGTTCTCACATGTTCCATGCCAAGTATTCTCAGCATTCTTTCTGTAGAACCACGTTTCTGTGGTTCAAGTCGTTCTTATATTTCCATGCCATGGCAATTCAGCATTCTTCTGTAGAACCACGCTCTGTGGCAAGCTGAGCGTTCTTTGAAGATCCATTAAGTCTAAAAATTCTTCGTTGAACCATGTTCGGTCCATGGCAAGCTCAGCGTTCTTATGTAGATCCATGCTAAGTGGCAAGCTCAGCATTCTTCTGTTGAACCACGCTCTGTTCAAGCTAATGGATCGTTCTTATGGTAGATCCATCCCAATGGCAAGTATCAGCATTCTTTTAGAACCATTTTCTCTAAAAATTCGTCGTTGCTCACATGATCCATGTCCATAGTATTCTTCAGCATTCTTCTGTTGAAGAACCACATTTCTGTGGCAAGCAAGTCGTTCTTATTAGTTCCATCTAATGGTATTCATTCTTCCTGATGTTAACGCTCTGTGTCCTTTTGTTTCCATTTTCTCTAAGATCCATGTTCGGTCCATGGTATTTCTCAGCATTCTTCTGTAGAACCACATTTTCTGTTGCTGAGCGTCATTTCTTCATGTTCCATCCATGGCAAGCTCAGCATTGTTTATAAGTGTAGAACATTTTTCTCTTTCGTCGTTGCGTTCACATGTTCCAGAATTTCCATGGCAAGCTCAGCATTCTTCTGTAGAACCCCGCTCTGTGGCATTTTTGAGCGTTCTTCATGATCCATCCATGGTATTCAAGCCTCTTCATTCTTCTGTAGTTATGCTCTTTGTTTCCATTTTGAGCGTTCGTATGTTTGATCCATGTTCGGTCCAAGTATTCTCAGCATTCTTCTGTAGAACCATGTTTCTGTGGGCAAGCTGAGCGTTCATGTTCCATAAATAATATTCTCTCTTCATTCTTCTGTAGAACCACGCTCTGTGGCAATGTTTTTGTTTCCATAGATCCAAAAGTGGTCGTTCAGCATTCTTGAAAGTCCACGCTCTGTGGCACTCTGAGCGTTCTTTATGTAATCCATGCCAAGTGGCAAGCTCAGCATCTCTTCTTAGAATGTTCCATCCTGTGGCAAGCTGAGCGTTAAGTAGAAAGTGTCCTTTTTGATCCATGCTAAAAATGGCAAGAAAAGCATTCTTCTGTAGAACCATTTTCTCTCTGTTTTTTTCTGGGCGTTCTTACATGATCCATGCTAATGGCAAGCTCAGCATTCTTCTGTAGAACCCGCTCTTTTGGCAAGCTGAGCGTTCTTATTAGATCCATGCTAAGTGGCAAGCTCAGCATTCTTCTTGTAGAACCATATTCTGTGGCAAGCTGAGCGTTTTATTTAGATCCATGCTATCGTGGTTGCTCAGCATGTTCTGTAGAACCACGCTCTGTGGCAAGCTGAGCGTTCTTATAGAATCCACATTAAGTGGCAAGCTCAAGCATTCTTCTTCATGTTCGCTCTGTGGCAAGCTGAGCGTTCCCAATGTTTAGATCCATGCCTTTTGTTTCAGCATTCTTCTTTAAGAACCACGCTCTGTTATCATTGAGCGTTCTTATTTAGATCCATAGTATTTCTCAGCATTCTTCTGTAGCTCTGTGGCAAACCAGCGTTCTTATGTAGATCCATGTTCAAGTCTCTTCAATTTCAGCATTCTTCATCCATAGAACCATTCTGTGGCAAGCTGAGCGTTCTTATGTAATGTTAAGCTCAGCATTCTTCTTTTTGTTTCCATCTTCTTAAAAATTCGTCGTTCTTACATGTTCCATCCATGGTAAGCTCAGCATTCTTCTGTAGAACCCCGCTCTGTTGCAAGCTCAAGCGTTCTTATGTTCCATCCATGCTAAGTCTCTTCTCCAGCATTCTTCTGTAGAACCCCGCTTTTCTGTGGCAAGCTGAGCGTTCTTATGTAGATCCATGTTCGGTGGCAAGCTCAGCATTCTTCTGTAGAACCACGCTCTGGCAAGCTGAGCGTTCTTATGTAGATCCATGCTATGGCAAGCTCAGCATTCTCCCAAAGAACCACGCTCTGTGGCAAGCTGAGCGTTGTCCTTTTCCATGCTAATTGGTTTCCATTTTCTTAAAAATTCTCGTTGCAACATGAGCGTTCTTATCGTAGATCCATTTTATTCTCAGCATTCTTCTGTAGAACCACGCTCTGTTGGCTGAGCGTTCTTTATGTAGATCCATCCATGCTAAGTCTCTTCCCTGATTCACGGTTATAATTCTTTTGTAGAACCATTTTCTCCTTAAAGCTTGAGCGTTCTTACATGATCCATGCTCCATGGTATTCTCAGCATTCTTCTGTAGAACCACGCTCTGTTGGCAAGTCTCTTCGTTCTTGTTCCATCCATGGTATTCTCTTCCCAATTCTTCTGTAGTAAAAGCTCTGTCCTTTTTGTTTCCATTTTTCTTCTAAAATCCATCGTGGCAAGCTTACATCTTCTGGTCCATAGTATTCTCAGCGTTCTTTTGTAGAATCCATTTCTGTGGCAAGCAAGCATTCTTTCATGTTCCCATCCATGGCAAGCTCGTTCTTATGTAGATCCATGTTAAGTGGAAAGCTCAGCATTCTTTTTTGTTTCCCCGCTCTAAAAATTTGTCGTTGCTCACATGTAGATCCATGCTATTCTCAAGCTCAGCATTCTTCTGTAGAACCACATCTCTGTTGCTTCAAGTCTTTTCTTCATCCATCCATGGTATTCTTCATTCTTCTGAAGATAAGTGCTCTTTTTGTTTCCATTTTTTTCTAAAATTCGTTCTTTGCTCACATGATCGGTCCATGGTAAGCTCAGCATTCTTCTGTAGAACCACGCTCTGTGGCAAGCTCAAGTCGTTCTTATTCATCCATCCATGGCAAGCTCAGCATTCTTCTGTAGAACCACGCTATGTGGCCTTTTTGTGAGCGTTTTCTGAAAATCCATGCTCGTTGCAAGCACAGCATTCTTCTGTCCAAACCATTCTCAAGCAAGCTGAGCGTTCTTATAGAATCCATGCTTTCTGGCAAGCTTCATTCTTCTTCATGTTCCGCTCTGTGGCAAGCTGAGCGTTCTTTAGATCCATGCTAAGTGGCAAGCTCAGCATTCTTTGTAGAACCCATTTCTGTGGCATTCGTCGTTCTTATGTAGATCCATGTCCGTGGCATTCTCAGCATTCTTCTGTAGAACCACGCTCTGTGGCAAGCTTCTTGATTCTGATGAACCATATTCCATTCTAAGTGTTAAGTATAAGAATAAAAAAAAAAAGAACCACGCTAAATCGTTGCTTGCATGTGTCTTTTTTCCATGTTGGTATTTTCATTCTTCTGAACTTCAGAACCACGCTCTGTTGCAAGCTGAGCGTTATATGTCCATCCATGCTAAGTCTCTCAGAATTCTTCTGTAGAACCCCGCTCTTTTGTCTTCCATTTTCTTCTTATGTAGATCCATGCCAAGTCCATGGCATTCTCAGCATTCTTCTGTAGAACCATTTCATCTGTGGCAAGCTTTTGTTTCAAAAATTTTTTCCATAAAAATGTCCTTTTTTTCATTTTCTATAGAGTCCATAATTCTTTTCATGTTTTTTTTGCTTCGTTCACATGTTTCCATCCATGCTTGCTTTTTCTCAGCATTCTTCTGTAGAATCCCGCTCTGTTTCAAGCTGATGCGTTCTTATAATGTCCTTTTTGTTGGCATTTTTCAGCATTCTTTCGTTTTTCACATGGCAAGTCCAGCGTTCTTCTAGATCCATGTATTCTTCTGTAGAACCTCAGCATTCTTCTTCTTTGATTCATGTTCCATCCATGGTTTCTTCTTATTCCTTCTCATAACATCAGCATGACTAGTGGCAAGCTTAGCATTCTTCTGTCCACGCTCTGTGGCAAGCTGAGCGTTCTTATGTTGATCCATGCTATGAGAACATTTATCAGCATTCTTCTGTAGAACATTTTCTTTCAAGAAGCGTTCTTATGTAGATCCATGCTAAGTGGTTCTCATCCATTCTTCTGTAGAACCCCGCTCTGTGTCCTTTTTGGCGTTTTTATATAAAAATCCGTTGCTCACATGTTCGGTCCATGGCATTCTCAGCATTCTTCTGTAGAACCACGCTCTGTTGGCAAGTCTCTTCTTCGTTCTTATGGTATGATCCATGCTAAGTTGGCAAGTGTCCTTTCTTTGTAGAACCCCGCTCTGTGGTTCGTCGTTCTCACATGTTCCATCCATGGTATTCTCAGCATTCTTCTGTAGAACCCCGCTCTGTGGCAAGCTGAGCGTTCTTATGTTAGATCCATGCTTTTTGGCAAGCTCAGCATTCTTCTATTTAGAACCATGCTTGTCCAAGTTTTCTTAAAGCGTTCTTTGTAGATCCATGCTAAGTGGCATGATCCATCAGGTATTCTTCTGTGAACCACGCTCTGTGTCTTTTTTTTCCATTTTCCTGTAGAAATACATGTTCATGTTCCATCAAGCTCAGCATTCTTCTGTAGAACCACTTGCTCCAATCCTTTTGAGCGTTCTTTTTTATAGATCCATTCGTCGTTGCAAGCTCAGCTTTCTTCTGTAGAACCCGCTCTGTGGCAAGCTTTTCGTTCTTCTTATGTATCCGTTGCTAAGTGGAGCTCAGCATTCTTCTGAATGTTCCATCAGCTCTGTGTATTCTGATTTTCTAAATGTTAAGATCCATGCTGTCTTTTTGTTTCCATTTTTCTGTAGAAAATCTCTCGCTTCCTGAGCTGTTCTCACATGATTCGGTCCGTTATTTATTCAGCATTCTTCTGTAGAACCACATTTGTAGATCCATGCTCAAGTTCTTCTTCATGATTCCATCCATGGTATTCTGAGTGTTCTTTTTAAGTTGATCTTTTGTTAAGATTATAAGTGTTTTTGTTTTTTTTCATTTTCTCTTAATGCTTCCTCATTGCTCACATGTTCGGTCCATGGTATTCTCAGCCTTCTTCTGTAGAACCACATCTCTGATGCTTGTCTCTTTCTGATTCTTCTGTATAAGTGTCTTTTTTGTTTCCATTTTCCTTAACGCAGATCATTGCTCACATGTTGTCCATGGTATTCTCAGCATTCTTCTGTAGAACCCATCTCTGATGCTTGTCTCTTTCTGATTCTAAGTATAAGTGTCCTTTTTTGTTTCCATTTCCTTTTGTTTCTTTTCCTCATTGTTGTCGTTCTTACATGATCCATGGTATTCTCAGCATTCTTCTGTAGAACCACATCTCTGATGCTTGTCGTTCTTTCTGATTCTAAGTATAAGTGTCCTTTTTTGTTTCCATTTTCTGTTAAAACTTCCTCGTTGCTCACATGTTCCATCCATGGTATTCTCAAGCTCTTCATTCTGTGTAGAACCACATCTCTGATGCGTTCTCTTTCTGATTCTATTCTTATAAGAACCCCTTTTTTGTTTCCATTTTCCTTCCACTTCCTCATTGCTCAGCATTCTTCTGTAGAACCCATGGTATTCTCAGCAATTCTTCTGTAGATCCATCCTGATGGTTCTCTCTTTCTGATTCTTTATAAGTGTCCTTTTTGTTTATATTTTCCTTAAAACTGGCGTTGTTCACATGTTCCATCCATGGTATTCTCTCAGCATTCTTCTGTAGAACCCATGTTTCTGTTGCTCAAGTCTCGTTCTAAATGTTCCATCCATGGATTCTCTGTCATCTGATTCTTTAAGTATAAGTGTTCTTTTGTTTCCATTTTTCTTAACGCTTGGTTCGTTGCTCACATGTTCGGTCCATGGTTATTCTCAGCATTCTTTTGTAGAACCAAATTCTTTTAAAGCTTGTCGTTCTTTCATGTTCCATCCAAGTATTCAAGAATTCCCAATGTTCTATGAAATTTTTTTTTTCATTTTTTCATAAAAATTCGTCGTTGCTGATAGTAATCCGGTCCATTTATTCTCAGCATTCTTCAAAAAAGAACCACATCTCTTTAAAATCTCTTGAGTTCTTCCATCCATCCATTCTAACCTGGCATGTTAAGTATAAGTGTCTTTTTGTTTCCATTTTCTCTAACGCATTCCTCGTTGCTCACATGTTCGGTCCATAGTATTTCAAAAAATCCTTCTGTAGAACCACATTCTGTTTGCTTCAAGTCTATGAAATGTTTCCATCCATGAGATTCTGTATTGATTTCCATGTTAAGTATAGGTGTCTTATTTTGTTTCATTTTTAAAAAAAACCCGTCCGTTGCTCACATGTTATCCATGAATCTGTTATTCTCAGCATTCTTCTGTAGAACCACAACTCTTTTGGAATCAAGTCTTTTCTTTTTCCATCCATGGAAACATTTTGATTCACGGTTATAAGTGTCCTTTTAGCTTTCCATTTTCAAAAACTTCCTTTGTCGTTGGATATTCAAATGTTCGTCCTGTTATTCACGGTTTGAAAGGATGAAGAAGAACTTGATCTGGCAAGTCTCCGCCTTCATGTTCCATCCATGGTATTCTCTTTCTGATTCTAAGTATAAGTGTCTTTTTCTTTTCATTTTCTCTTTGCTTCATGTCGTTGCTCACATCTTCGGTCCATGTTATTCTCAGCATCCTTTCTGTAGAACCACATCTCTGCAGAGTTCTCTTGTCAAATGATTCCATCCATGGTCCTTTCTTTGATCGATGTTCTTATTAAATCTTCCTTTTTGTTCACATTTTCTCTAAATGAACATTCTGTTGTCTTCGTTCAAACCAGGTCCATGATGTATTCTCAGCATTCTTTAATTGTAAGAACCCATTGTTTTTGTTGCTTAAAGTCGTTTCGTTCTTATAGATCCATCCACATATTTTCTCTTTCTGATGTAGAATAATGTCTTTTTGCATTCCTGATTTTCTATAAAATTCTTTTTTGCTCACATTGTTCGGTCCATTTATTCTCAATTTGCGTTCTTGTAGTAGCCTCCTGTAAGCCATGTTCAGCATTCTTCTTTGCTTGTCTCTTCTTAATCTATTATGGCGTTCTTATGAGATCCATTTAAGATTCTAATATAAGTGTCTTTTTTTCCATTTTCTTAAAACTTCGTCGTTGCTCACATGTTCGGTCCATGGTATTCTCAGCATTCTTCTGTAGAACCACATTTCTTTGCTATCAAGTTCTCTTCTTATGTTCCATCCATGCTAAGTCTTGTCTTTTTGTATTTATTCCTTTTTATATCTTTTTCTAAAAGCCTGTCGTTGCTCACATGTAGATTCCCATAGTATTCTCAGCATTCTTCTTTGATCTGTAGAACCATTCTGTTGCTTCAAGTTCTTTGTGATTCATGCTCCATCCATTTATTTGTTTTTTTTTTCCTTAGACTTCCTTTTTGTCAATTTGAGCGTTCTTTATGTTTCATTTTCTAGGTCCAGAACTTGTTATTCTTAATGAAGAACCACATTCTTTATGGCTGTGTCTTTCTGATTCTAAGATCCATGGTTTCTCTTGGCAGTCTTTAATTCTTCTTCATTTTCTTTTCATTTTTTTTAAGCGTTCTTTTGCTAGATCCCGTCCATTGGAAAATTCTCAGTATTTTTTTAGAACCACGCTCTAAAAAGCTTGAGCGTTTCTTTTATAGATCCATGGTATTGGCAATTTTATTTTCTTTTTTTTCCTGTGCAAAATGTAAACCTTTATGTTCTGTCCATTTAGATCCTCCATGGCAATTTCCAGCATTCTTCATGTTCCATCCATGCTCTGTTCAATCTTTCGTTTCTTGATCCTGATTAAGTATAAGTGTCCTTTTGTTTCCATTTTCTTTAAAACTTCGTCGTTGCTCACATGTTCGGTCCATCCATTATTCAGCATTCTTCTGTAGAACCACATTTCTGTTGTCTTCAAGTCTCTTCTTCATGTTCCATCCATGGTATTCTCTCTTCCTGATGTTAAGTATAAGTGTCCTTTTGTTTCCATTTTCTTAAAATTCGTCGTTGCTCACATGTTCGGTCCATAGTATTCTCAGCATGCTTCTGTAGAACTTGTTTCTTGTTGCGTTTCAAGTCCATCTTCATTCCATCCATGGCATTCTTTGAAGAACCACGCTGTCAAGTATAAGTGTCCTTTTTTGTTTCCATTTTCTGGGAAAAACTTCGTCGTTGCTCACATGTTCGGTCCATAGTATTCTCAGCGTTCTTCTGTAGAACCACATTTCTGTTGCTTCAAGTCTCTTCTTCTGTACCTCCATCCATGGTATTCTCGTCTTTGTAGATCCATGTTAAGTATAAGTGTCTTTTTGTTTCCATTTTCTCTAAAAGCGTCGTTCTCACATGTTCGGTCCATAGTATTCTCAGCATTCTTCTGTAGAACCATGCTCTGTTGGCAAGCAATTCTTCTTCATGTTCCATCCAATGTGCATGCTCTCTTTTCTGATGTTAAGTATGTGTGTCTTTTTTGTTTCCATTTTCTAAAACTTCGTCGTTGCTCACATGTTCGGTCCATGGTATTCTCAGCGTTCTTCTGTAGAACCACATTTCTTGTTGCTCAGCATTTTCTCTTCTTCATGTTCCATCATGGTCTTTCATCTTCGTGATATTAAGTCCATGCTTTGTCCTTTTGTTTTCATTTTCTCTAAAAATTCGTCGTTGCTCACATGTTCGGTCCATGTGTATTCTCAGCATGCTTCTGTAGAACCACATTTCTGTAAAACTTCAAGTCTCTTGTTCATGTTCCATCCATGGTATTGTCTCTTCCCAGATGGCAAGTATAAGTGTCCTTCTTTGTAGAACATTTTGAAAAACTTTCGTCGTTGTTTTACATGTTCGGTCCATATTTTCAGCATTCTTCTTAGAACCATGTTCTCTGTTGCAAGCAAGTTCTTCATGTTCCATCCATGGTATTGCATTTTATTCTTCTTTTGATTCTTAAGTATTGAGCGTTTTTTGTTCCATTTCCTTAAAAATCCATTCGTTCTCACATGTTCGGTCCATAGTATTTTCAGCATTCTTTGTAGAACCTTGATCAAGTCTTCAAGTCATTCTTCTTCATGTTCCATCTCTGTGGTTCTTTCTGATTCTAAGTTTTTGTTTCCATTTTCTCTAAAAATTCGTCGTTGCTGAGCACATGTTCGGTCCATGGTATTCTCAGCATTCTTCTGTAGATGGTTTCTCTGTTGCTTCAAGTCGTTCTTCTTCATGTTCCATCCATGGTATTCTCTCAGCATTCTTCTGTGTCCTTTTTGTTTCCATTTTTGGCTAAAAGCGTTCGTCGTTGATTCATATGTTCGGTCCATAGTATTCTCAGCATTCTTCTGTAGAACCACATTTCTGTTGCTTCAAGTCTCGTTCTTCATGTTCCATCCATGGCATTCTCTCTCTTTCGATGTTAGCCTATAAGTGTCCTTTTGTTTCCTTTTTCTCTAAAATTCGTCGTTGCTCCATGTTCGGTCCATAGTATTCTCAGCATTCTTCTGTAGAACCACATTTCTGTTGCTTCAAGTCTCTTCTTCATGTTCCATCCATGGTATTCTCTCTTCCCGATGTTTTGTATAAGTGTCCTTTTTGTTTCATTTTCTTAAAAATTCGTCGTTGCTCAAATGTTCGGTCCATAGTATTCTCAGCATTCTTCATTTGTAGAACCAGCCTTATTTCTCAGATAATTAATCTGAATTCTTCATATAAATCCATCCATGGTATTCTCATTTTTCCCGATTAAGTATAAGTGGACATCCTTTGTTTCCAGGGCTATTTTCCCTTTCGTCGTTGCTCACATGTAACATTCGGTCCATAAAATTCTTTTTTACGGCTTCTTTTCTTTCGTCCATGTTTCTGTTGCTTAGAACGTTAGCCATCTTAACACAATTCCCTGCCCATGGTTTTCAATAAATTTTGTCTTTGATGTTAAGTTTAAGAAATCCTTTTGTTTCCAATCACTCTACAAAACTCATTAGTTGCTTACATGTTCGGTCCATAGTATTCTCAGCATTCTTCTTTAGAATCAAATTTCTGTTGCCCTCTTTCTTCTTCATTATGAGGAAATTTCATCTGTCTATTCCTGGTCAAAAATAAAAGTGTCCTTTTTGTTTACCTTTTCTCTAAAAATTCGTCGTTTCTCTCAACAGGTTCGGTCCATAGATAATGCTCAGTCATGCTTCTGTAGAATGATTTTGAGAACTTCAAGTCTCTGAGGAGAAATGTTATTATTACATGTTATTCTCAGAAGTCCTGAGACATTTAGTATAAGTGTCCTTTTTGTTTCCATTTTTTCTAAGCTTCACTTCGTCGTTGCTCACAGATGTTTGGTCCATGGTAAAAGTAGGTTGATCAACCACACCTGACACCATTCTCTTTCATCTTTCAACCAAGAAACGTCCTGGATAACAACAACAAAGATTAAAGTGTCCTTTGTTTCATGCAAAAATTCCCGTGACAATTATGTTCGGTCCAAGTATTCACATGAAGACAGAAGAACCGATTGGTCTAAAAATTTCATGCGCTCCAAATCAGGGTTTGATGTTAAGGACACAGAGAATGAGAAGTTCTCCACGAATGAATTTCAGCATAAGTCTTCAGATGACCATTTTGTAATACTATTACTGGGTTTTCCAGAATGATAAATCAATTATATTGATTTTAAAATAAAAAATATCTTTCGGAAGACTGAAGATGTGACGTCCAGCGACAATATAAAAAAGGGAGGGATACTTAAATTAGACAGTGATTGAAATAAAATGACCTGTTATCCAAAACTGATATATCTTTCCCAAAGTTAAGGAGAGACCGCCCTTTTGTTTGTCTTTGCTAAACGATTCCATTCTGTTGTTGTTTTGGCGGTCAAATTTTCCAAAAGCAAAAAGGACATTAATCTCAAAAGAAGCACTTTTCAATTTAAAAGATTAATTTCACGGTCCATCTGGTATGACTGTTACCTGATGTTAGAATGAAACCAAGTAAAAATAGATAAAAATCAAAAGTGATGGACAAGAAGATGGTAGGATATAAGATGTAAAGGGGTTTTAGGTTTTAGATGTTTTTTTTTTTTTTTTACTTTTATTCTATATTTCAGAAGCGTCCCTGAACGTTTGGTTTTTTCCAGCAGCATTGTATTTAAAAAAGCTCACATGAGAAGAGCACTCGACTGAGATAAAGAGTCTCGTAGAACCACATTTCTGTTGGTTAAAATTTTTGGTGAGGAACATGAAAATATTTTCGTATCAGTATTTGTTTTTTATTCATTCTTTTAGAATCGCTCGACATTGTTTTCGTCTATTTTATGCTGCTTCAAAATTTCTGATAGGATGTTTTAAGAGTTGGCTACCAAAGTAATCGCATTGTGACCTTTCTTTAAGTTTCTGGTGTTTTTTTAAACTCGTTTTATTGTTTCAATCTTCAGAGATAATACTTGATGGTTTTTTGTCCGAATTACTGATAATGTACCAAGCCTTTTTTCTTATGCCCAATGAAAGAATCATTGGTCGTTTAAATTGGACTCTTTTACGACAGCAATAAGAAAGTCGGCTTGATTTAAACTTGTTTTATGGAAAGAAATTAATCAGCTCGATTGTTAACAACAGCGTAGCTGTTCTTGTTGCCAAACTCAAACTATAATATCCCAAATTTATGGTGTTCTCATTCCTGCAAAGAATGTTTCTTTTTCTTTCTTTCTTCTTCATCATCTTTTCATCTTCATCTTCTTCATATTCTTACTTTATAGAATCTTTCAGTGGTTCCATATTAATGGTTCATTAAATCTTCTCTGGAACTCTCAATAGGTCAGAATTATTCTTTTTTTTTATGGATCTCTCAATGGTCCACAACTCCCAGTGTTTATTACTTTCTTCTTGTATGGAACTCTCAATGGTTCAAACCTTTATTTTTCTTCTTCTCTTTCTTCTTTGGAACTCTCAATGGTTCAGTTCTCGGTCCATATACCTTCATCTTCTATGGAACTCTCAACAGTTAATACCAGGAGAAGTATTCTTCAATAACTGTCAATGGTTTTTCTTAATTAATCATTCATACCTTCATCTTCTATGGAACTCTCAACAGTTAATACCTTCGAATATTTTCATTGGAACTGTCAATGGTTCAGTTCTTAATGGTTCATGCCTTCATCAATAATGGAACTCTCAATGCCACAACGGCCAATGGTTTATACTTTTTTTTCTTCTGTTGAACACTTTATGGTCACAACTCCTAGTAGATTATACTTTCTTCTTCTTCTATTGAACTCTCAGTGGCTCAATTCTTAATAGTTCATACCTTCTTTTTTCTTTTTTTCCTAACTTTGTATATTTACAATCCAAAAATAAAAGACTCCACTGTTACTACTGAAGCAGCCTATAGATATCTTTATAAATCATACTTACCTTCAGTTTTAATAGATATTGAAACACCCATGGAAGGATTTTTAATGGAAATTTATAAAGTATATTTTCCCCTTTCTGTTTCCATTTTCCCTCCCTCTAATGCCTCTCCCTCTCCCCTCTCCCCTTCTCTCTCTCTCTCTCTCAAAGAATCATGTTTTCTGTCTATCTCTAAGTCTCCTACAATCTCTCTCATCTTCTCTTTCCCTGAAGACATTCTATATACCCTCATATCTTTTCCCTCTTATATTCTTCTCTCTCTCTCTGTCTGTCTATCTCACCTACTTTCTTCCCTCTCTCTCCACCTCAATAAAAGAACAGAAAATCTATATAATATAAGATTTCGATAATCCCTAAAACTAAGGTATGCTTCAAGTCCTGAAGAGAATAGAAGACTTCACAACTTTTTTCTTATGTGTCAAGAAAACAACATTTTTATTAACACTATTTGATTTGTTTCCGATATCACATAGGTTTTTCAGTTTCTTTTCTCTGGTTCTTCGGCTTCGATCTGCCTTGAAAGAAGTTAAATTCTTAAACCTTTTTCCCTTGGTACCGAACATTTCAGTTGATTCTTTCAGATTATTATTTTTTTTTTTATTTTATTTCCAAAATTTTTTTTTAAGACTGTTCGTTAGAAATTACTTTTCTCACATTCCATTCTCAGCATTGGTTCCAAATAAAATCATTTCATCTCTGTTGCTTTCAAAAGTTTTTAATTTGTAAAGTGATATGTAATGTTACAGTTTCTACTGGTGTCAATAAAATAATTTTTACTTTCAACATACCTATTAATAATTATTTTGCCATTTTCGTCAAGGTCTAACATGGGAGGAATTCTACAGATTTATTAGAGAGACAAACAATCTTTCTACAAGAACAAATTTGAGGGCATAGAAAAGGAAGAGAGGAATATTCTTTTTTCTGGCGATTTAAAAATATAAACAAGCGTACATAAATTTATGAACATATAAAAACCAAAGGTTGAAATGAAAATACAGGTTAAGAATCCTTTATCCAAAATTCTTTAGAACAGAAGTGAGAAGACTTTTTAAGATTTTTGCAGTTTAAAGAATAGAGTTCCAGAATTTGTTTATAGTCTCTATAAAGGCATCAAGGGGAACTTGGGAGATGCAAAGCATAAAATGACAATATCCCTTTATAATATCTTTACTGAGCACGAAAATAATTAGTACATAATTCAGGAACGATTTTGTTGTAATGTTGATTACTAAAAATCACATGCACCAACAGGCTACATACCTGGGCTGGGGAACACCTACACAGAGTAGATGGGGTGAAAACATCATCTAGTACATCACCTAGAACTCTTTTCAGTGCTTTCTAAAATTTTTTGAAATGTCATGTCACTGAAAAACTTTCGGATTTTGGAATACTGGATAAAGGATACTCAACTTGTACTACTTTTTTTTCATATCATATATTGCAAAAAGACGATTACTCCGCCACGCTTTGTTTGAAGGTGACTTTGAATGAACTCTCGTAAAGTAAAAAACATCTTTCTGGAAGTGCGTGGGATAATGCCGATAAGAACCAAGAGGTTGCTGGGAGAAAGAAAAAAAATATATATATATATATAAGAAAAAAGTGAGGGAAAGACAATACAAAAAACAGGTTTGCGTTTAAATCTTCCAAAGATCATAGGTGGCATGGAAGCAAGAAACTTTCTCCTTATTTTAGACAGATAAAAAAGTGGAAGAAAACAAAAGATTAAAATAGAACTTCCGGATTTGCATGAAAAGCTATTTCAACTGTAAAACAATGGACAACCTAGTTGCCAATCTAGTAGAACGTATAAATTCATTCAGTCTAGTACTTTCTTCTTCTATATGCTTTGTCTCTTCAGGAAGTTGACGATCAATTTTCTGGAAGACAGATCTTAATAAATTATGTCTTTTGTTATCTCTCTAAAATAGTCATTTACTCTGATTGAAATAGCTTATGCATTGTTTTCTTCTGTCCCTCTTGCCTTCAATCTGTTCCTGTTTCTAGGAAGACAGAAGATCTTTCTTCATTATGCCACTAGGAATTTCAACTGTCTTTCTTGATTGAAAGTATAAGTGTCCTTTTGTTACCATTTTTCAATAAAAGAACGTCGTTTCCCATGTTTAGACAGATGATATTCACAACATCCTTCTAAGAACCACAAGGGCTTACTCTTCTTAAAGAGCTATATAAGGAGGACTGATATTGCATAAAAGTTCAATATCATTTTTTTTCAGGAAGAAATTCTATCATTTTTTTTAATATCTTTTGTGCATACGACATAAAGACTGGCAAAGGGTAAATTTTTGTAAACTTTCGTATTTGGAAAGGACAGTAAAAGAACTTTCTTTTATATAAGATTTCACCCCCAGCAAGTCGATATTGCCACGAATACGCAAGAGGTTATTGGGGTGAAAGAGAATGAGAAGACTTTGTGAGGAGAAGGACAATAAAAGAATAGAGTTTAAGAAGACAGAAGATGGCGATTGAGATTGTATTTAGAATTTTGATGATCGTAGGTGAGGGAAGCAAGAAAACCGGAAGTGAAGGAAAAGAAATAATTAGAACAGTTTCCGGTTGCATCTAGCTATTTCAACAATAAAAAGGGAGGTTGCCAATCTAGTAGAACGCCTAAATTCATTCGGTCTATAATTTCTTCTATTAAAAGCGTCTCTTCAGGAAGTTGACGATCAATTTTCAGTTCTTCATTTCAGGAGTGCATTATATTTAATGGGACTAATTACTAATACATGTTTTAGTGTCAAAAGAAATTAAAATAAAAGAACAGGTTTCAGGAATATAGAAGATGTTGATAATGCCACTAAGTATAAACTTTTTACTGGATTGAAAGAGAATGAGAAGACTTTAGTGAGGAGAAAGGACAATAAAAGAACAGGTTTCATAAGACAGAAGATGGCGATAATGCCACTAGGACTCAAGGGGTTACTGGGAGTGAAAGAATGAGAAGAGCTTTGTGAGGAGAAAGGACAATAAAAGAACAGGTTTCAGGAAGACAGAAGAACGATAATGAAACTAAGATGCAAGGGGTTACTGGGAGTGAAAGAGAATAGGAAGACTTTAGTGAGGAGAAAGGACAATAAAAGAACAGGTTTCAGGAAGACAGAAGATGGCGATAATGCCACTAAGATGCAAGGGTTACTGGGATGAAAGAGAATGAGAAGACTTTAGTGAGGAGAAAGAACAATAAAGAACATGTTTCAGGAAAACAGAAGATGGCGATAATGCCACTAAGACCATGAAGGTTACTGGAAAGAGAAAGATGTTGAGAAGACTTTAGTGAGGAGAAAGAACAAAAAAAGAACATGTTTCAGGAAGACAGAAGATGACGATAATGCCAAAAAGACGCAAGGGGTTACGGGGAGAAAAAGAATGAGAAGACTTTAGTGAGGAGAAAAGGACAAAAAAAACAGGTTTTCAGGGAAAGACAGAAGATGGCGATAATGCCTTCAAGATGCATCCACTGGGAGTGAAGAGAATGAGAAGACTTTAGTGAGGAGAAAGGACAATAAAGAACATTTTCAGGAAGACAGAAGATGGCGATAATGCCACTAAGATGCACGGGGTTACTGGAAGAAAAAGAGAATGAGAAGACTTTAGTGAGGAAAAGGACAATAAAAGAACACATGTTTCAGGGAAGACAGAAGGAAATGATAATCCACTAAACGCAAGGGTTACTGGGAATGAAAGAGAATGGAGAAGACTTTAGTGAGAAAAGCACAATAAAAGAACAGGTTTCAGGAAGGAAGATGATGGCGATAATCCAATAATGTGGCAGAGTTATGGGGAATGAAAAGAATGAAGACTTAAGAGAATCAACAAAAAGAACAGGTTTCAGGCACAGAAGATAGCGATAAATTAAGATGCAATTACTGGGGAGGAAAAGAATGAGAAGACTGAGGAGGAGAAACGACAATAAAATCTTTGGTTGTTAGGAAGACAGAAGATGGCGATAATGCCACTATAATGCAAGGGATTACTGGGAGTGAAAGAAAAAGAAGATTTTATCTGAGAGAAAGGACAAATTAAAAGAACAGGTTTCATTCAGACAGAAGATTTGATAATCAACTAAGATTAAGGGGTTACTGGGAGGAAAAAAAATGAGAAGACTTTAGGGAGGAGAACGGCTTCATAAAGAACAAAATCAAAGAAGCCCTGAACTAGCGATAATGCCTTGAAAGATCTGCAAGGGGTTATCATGATGGAAAAGAGAATAAAGAAGACATCCAACCGATTAAGTTTAGGACAATAAAAGAACAGGTTTCAGGTAGACAGACTTTGACAGTAATGCCACTATAACCCAGGGGATTACTGGGTTTTGAAAGAGAATGAGAAGACTTTAGTGAGGATCAAAGGACAATAAAGAACAGGTTTCAGGAAGACAGAAAATGGCGATCAAATGCAAATAATACAATCATTGGGAGGAAAAGAGAATGTCGAGAATGGTTTAGTGGAGAAAGGACAATAAAAGAACAGGTTTCAGGAAGACAGAAGAATGGCGATAATGCCACTAAGATGCAGGGGGTAAACTGGGAGGAAAGAATCTCCTATTAAGACTTTAGTTCTTTAAAACAATAAAGAAACGCCTCTTTGGGCCCGAGACAGAAGATGCTGATAATATTTAAGATGCAAAGGTTACTGGGAGGAAAGAGAATTAGAAACTTTAGTGAGGAGAAAGAACTTTTAAAAGATGCCACTCATATTGCAATTAAAGATTAAGATTGCAAGGGAGTTACTGGGAGGAAATTGAATGAGAAGACTTTAGTGAGGAGAAAAAGACAATAAAAGAACAGGTTTCAGGAAGACAATTGAGATAAAATGGCGATAATGCCTACATATGTGCTGATTCAAAGTTAAAATTTTTCTATGGAGTGAAAGAGAATGAGAAGACTTTAGTGAGGAGAAAGGACAATAAAGAACAGGTTTTCAGGAAGACAGAAGATGACGATAATGCCACTATAACGCAAGGGATTACTGGTGTTAAAAGAGAATGGCGTTCTTAGTGAGGAGAAACCTAAAAAAAAAGAAACAGGTTTCAGGAAGACAGAAGATGGGGATAATGCCTGCCTATATTTTCTCCTCTATCTTACTGGGAAAGAAAGAGAATGAGAAGTTGTCTTTAGTGAGGAGAAAGGACAATAAAAGAACCAGGTTTCAGGAAGACAGAAGATGGCGATAATGCCATTAAGATCCTTGTCTTGTGAAAGAGAATGAGAAGATTTTGAGGGAGCTAAACAATGAACATGTTTCAGGAACAGAAGATGGCGATAATGCCACTAAGATGCAACCAATTCTTTATCTAATGTTCTGAGAAGACTTTATTTTT